CTGAACAATGCCTGCACCCCTTCCCCCCTCCCCTCCGTGTTCCCCTGGCTGCTCAGCTCCGCCAAGCCACATACTTGGCTAAGGGCAAGCAAGTGGCTCTCTGTTTTTACGGCTGGTTGCCCACCGACAGCACAACCCTCGCCCACAAAATTCCAGAAAAAAAAAAAAAAATTACGAAGTAAAGCGAAGTGTCAGTAAACCGCGGACGACGCGACAGCTTCAAAAAATGGGAAAGAGAGAGAAAAAAAAAAGAGCCGGCACCTTGGGCTTGCATAGCACAGTGAGGGAGTCTAGGGTGCCTTAATGTGCGCACATAAAGGCTCCCTACCCTACTCCACACGCGTGTTGGCCATGAGGGGGAACGCGCAGCGCACTGTTTTTGTCCACACAGCCAGCCGGCTTCTTCGTGTTGGTTCTATTTTGAGCAACGACGTTTCCCCAAAAATACAAAAATTTCTCCAATGTTTTTTTTTAGCAGCGTTTTTTTTTTTTTTTTGGGGGGGGGGGGGGGGGGGGGGGGGTCAGAGTAACCACGAAGGTCGGGTAATTGCTTCCGTGTGGAGACCCGATCGCGAGGCGGGGAGATAGTCTGCGCGAAAAGAAAGCCCTTATTGAACGGAGACTACCTACAGATGTAGCGAGTTGAGGGGGAGAAGTTTCCCAACTCCCAAGGCAAGAAAGGGCAACACAGGTTGTAAAGGGAGAGATCACACTGCAGTCTGTGTTGAAGCGCTGCTACCACGATGGTCGTCGGAGACATCAAAGAAACGCGGCATCTTCGCCGGTATTTCTGCGTCTTTGTTTCCGAAGCACAATTTTGGGTTTTGGCGAGCCAGCCTGCTATGTTCAGGCGGGCGCCCTATTATGCACACAGACGGTTTCAGTCTATTTTCAAAGAGGACCATAAATTAAGGAAACATGCTGAAATAAAAAAAAAAGGCATCGCCACTGAAGGTGCTGGAACGAGAGGGATGTTTTTTCCTTGTCTCCCAGAGTCCATCTGCTTCCTCCTCCCCAGCCTTCCTTCTCCTCGCCCTGTCACTTCACTGAAACTGCAGTTGTAGATCTGTCACTGTGAAATCTGCGGACGGTTTGTTTGGACATCTTAACATCAAAAGATGTACGTTTTTCTTTTTTTTTTTTTGATGAGTGCAACGCTAAAAATACACAGTATTTAAAGTTTTACACTTTTAATCATTATGGCTACCAAAAGGACGCTCCTTGATGCGTGGTTGCGGGGGCCCAAGAAATTGGCAGTTTGTCAGGGAAATACCCAAACCTTCGGCACGGCAGCAGCGGACCGTTTCATACCAAGAGTCACCCAGAATTTACAAAAATTCTTGTAGGTTTTGTTTCAATTTTGTGTGTGTGCATGCACAGCAAAGCAAGAGGGAATTGTCGAATCTTAGGTTGCATAAACTGCATTGCATGGAGTTCACAATGTTCCGTTGTTCTATGAAATAACCGCATAAAACAGTTTTGTAATATATTGCGAAGGTATTTAGCACACAGACATAGTTAGATGGTGGAAGTAATCAGTAAAATTTCAATAAAATCAGTTCACTAAGCAAAACAAAAAAAAAATCTTTTTTTTTTTTTTATTTTGCGTATGAACACCAAATAATATTTTGGGCCACTGTGGCGTTAATTGTGGCAAAATGAAGGCTATGTTATGCAATATTGTATTTTATTTTTATTCCACCCATTTTTTCAGTCATATTAAACGCCTCAGTTTCCCAGAAAAATGTTTGATAGTTTCGCGAAAAAGAGATTTCGTGAAAATTTACCCATAAAAAACTGCTTCTTTTTTTTTTCCTTTTCTTTCTTTCACTAAAAAGGTTCATTTCTTCATTTTCAAAAAAAAAAAAATAAAATTAATCCACTACGTTTGGGGGCATCTCTGTAGTAAATCGTAACACGCACGTTAACAAGGAAATTTGCGCATAGAAAAATCGCAAGGGTTCAGGTGAGTTGGTGAATATTAACAATGTTGAATGGAAGGGACAGAAAATAGACAGGATGACGCCTTGAGACATCATCCTGTCTATTTTCTGTCCCCCCCCCACTGCATTCTTTATTTCGACCGTGAGCCCCCCCACGTAAAATACAATTCCGGGGTCGAATCTTCACTACTCAAGATCGGCCTTCGTTTGCTCAAGTTGCCATACTCCTGGAATAGAGCTCTCCTTCAAAACATGCGGCCATTCTCTGGCGTCCATAACAGTGACTGAAAAAGTCCACTGTATCCATTCTCGTGCATACGTTCCGTACAAAAATTACCTTATAGGGTAGCCTGGGTTATGGTAGAGTATGCAGTCAGTTTTTTGAGCAGGAACATTACGTCTGGTTGACAATGACGTTTTTAAATATGCTACAAAGTTTTTCGCTTCTCGGAAACGAGGAATGGTTACTCCTGGAACAGTGCACCTGTCACTTGGTGTCAGATTTTTGCCAAGAGCTTATGCTACGCTTTTTTCTACACATTTTTATATGTGTACAGTAGAGCTCTACACGGGCCGGGCTTAGGCTAGGTATTATGGATTGTTTCCGAGCCCAAGCCAGGCTTGGGCATTGGTGTAGCACACTTTTTACACTTTTTAAAAGGTTCAGAAGAAAACGCTAACACATTGATCATTTAGACTTGAAAGAACCAAAAAAGCCGAAGTGCGAACTTGCTACTACTACGCCACTAAAATAATCTTCGAAATAAAGAAAGCTGTTGTAGACCAAAGAAACCCACACGAAGATACGAAGAATCTTGCGGATTCCATCAGCATAGTGGGACAGCTGCAGCAGGCAAGAAAACAAGGGCAATCTAGTCACAGGAGACAGTATGATTGTATTTCCCTTTCCTTTTCAAACTTTTGAAGAAGAAAAAAATGCTCGCTCGCTACCGAAAATAACTCGTATGTCTTATAGTTCTGTAAGCTTTTGAATGTTCACCACGTGACTGCGATATGACAGCGTCCTTCACATAATTAGCAAACAAATCAAATGCACCAACACCTTCCCAGGGCAGCTTTGAATTTAAGAGATGATGCACGCTTTGGCCCATTGGGCCGGGTCCAGGTCACATAAGACTGAAAGTCAGCGGGCCTGGGCCAGGCCTTGAAAGTAGACCCGTGCTGTGCTCTATTTTATGGGCTCCCCATACTTATATGGAACATGCAAACTGTGTCCAGTCAGATGGAGCATTGTCCTGGTGGAAGTCGCACAACAGCTCTGGAACGTAACATGCAATGAAACATTCCGAGCAGGGAAGCCTGCTCACTCAAGACCGAGATTGTGACGCTTATGGTCATCTTTGCACGATGGCACATAGGTGACTGCCAAGATTGTCAGTGGTTGAATCCTGCAATCAGTAGACCCTCAATGTTTACTGAAAAAAAACAAAAACAAACATCCAATAAATTATGATTTTGACAGCCTCTTAGCTACCATGTCACGAGGTGGTAGTGACTTGCAGTGTACTTGTGGTAGTGGCGATAAGAGTAGATCGTCCGGCCAGCCATGTTGCTGCAGTGTCTCCAGTCCAACCCAGTTTCGGCCTTAAGTGGGCGCCCTCCCCTCGGCCACCTGTCGCATTGCATGCTATGTCACAGAGCCGTTGTTTGGCTGCCACCATGATAGTGCTCCCTTCAGGTGAGACGCAGTTTGCATGTTCTCTACAAGTTCGTTGGGCACTACACATCACAGAGGCCAGCGGTGTGAGCTCATGGTTTCTGGGGGCGCTTCCTCTTCTGGAACTACAATTCCATGCACTGCACTTACGGACCAGTGTGCTGTCTACAAAACAGCATACTTTGCCCGCACCAGGTGTGGGCACTACGCGTGCACGGGAACCAGTTTTGCGGGACGTGAAGGGTCTGTGCGTGCACTGTGCCATAAGAGCCACTGCTGTGGTGCGATGCCAGAGGCATGCGTCTGTCTACAGTGCGTTTTTCCCGAGTATGTACCGCGATAAATGCTACAAGCTACATGAGCCAATCTGTAGTTCGTAGCTGTCTCGTGACTTCGCACTCCCCGCGTTGCTCCGCTCAACTGAAAAGACACGCGATGCCCTCAGAGCTGTGAATTGGCTCCTGTAGCTCTGTGATTTGTGAATGTAACGGGTGAAAGCAACAACTGTCTAACTGTCTAGAACTGCGACAGTCGAACGTCAAGAATGCTGGCGGGTCCATCCGTCTTCTACAGCAGGTAGCCACAGTTCGTACGATGGCATGCTCAGGACCCGGTTGGGCTCGAACGGCATCCGGCTGTGCCATCCGCAAAAAGCGCAACCTTTGTTCAGGATAGTGAGGAGGCTTCCCCTAACCCAAGAATGTCCCCTGCCATTTGTCAATACCTCCCCATGTACAGTCAACTGCGATATGAGCCGACTCTGCTTAGTGCTAGCCGAAAGGGGTAGAATGCCACATGGGATGCTTCCGGCATGCAAAGCTACGAAACTGACTGCCGTATTGTGACGATAGAAAATGTGACAGTTCATCCAACCTCTCTTTTAGCAGCTCAACATACCTCAGCCTCCCCACGTGGCTTTTTGTGCCACTTCGGCATGAACGCCGCTGGGACAGCTCACGTTACTGTACCCCATGCAACGCAGCATTCATTTGCGTACCACCCCCGTTTTCCCTCATGCCACAGGCTTCCGTGGGTGGGGGGGGGGGAAGGGGGGAGGGAGGGAGGGAGGGAGGGGGGGGGAGAGAGAGAGAGAGATTGATTAATGCCAAGCATGTTAGCATGCCACTGCTCGGAGGAAAAGCTCGCGTTGCAGTACTTGGGGATCCTGTGTTCAATCCCCACCCCTGCCCATTTTGATCTGGACAAGCATTGTACTGGCGCACGGCCGTGTGTCACTGCTGCGTGATGCACTTCAAAAGTCTCCAGGCTACTAGTGGCAGTAGTGCACTGGCTAAATTTCTTGTCTAGAGCATAAACCTGCATCGCCGCAACTTACGTTGTGTCAACACGAATGTCAGGTTGGTTTCTGTCTGTTGCAGGCCTCAAATGCTGAAGACTCGGAGATGGAGGATCTCTCCCAGTGCTCCCAGGAGGACGAGGAGTCTCGACGGCGCCAGCTGCGGCGTGCCTACCGGGATCTCATCAACCGGACAGTTGCGGACCCAGACGACGAGACGGCTGTGCCGCCCACCGAGACACTCGACGAAGCCAAGCAGCTCTTCTCCAAGGTCACGAGGACGCAGGAGGCCGTGCTCGACTCGAAGCTCATGGTACTGATGGCCTCCAAGGGCCGCAAGTGCGCCAGCTTGCTGCCCATCAACCTGCACACCTTCGACGCCGAGGAGTTTGCGGGCAGGGCCCTGAGCATCATGGGCACCTCCGCTCCTGTAGGCCAGAAGCTGGACCTGGCAGCGTGGGCACAGCTGGGCAGGTTTGCTGAGGAGCCACTCAAGAGGAGCGCCCCCTTCTGGTACCTGTATGGTGCGGCCGGCGAAGTGCCTCCCCGGGTACGCCAGGCGAGGCGGACCGTGGTCGAGGCTCCCGACAGACCAGAAACGGTTGCCAAGAAGGTTCGTGCAACTATCTTCTGGGTTGGAGCTACGGCTTGTACTGTGGTTGAGATGTGTACCGTGTCTTTCAGTCTACGATTCGCACCCCCGTATAAGAGGCCATCTTTACGAAAAAGATGGTGTGTAAGTTGCTCTTGGTGCGGTCTGCGCAGTCACTGCTGCCACGGAACTATGCCACAATGCTTGGGTCAGCTTTCGAACCGCTGGAAGAGCGGCCCATCACAGGGTACACCACCGTTTCTCGTTTTCCGTAAACGTCGATAGGGCCTACATCTCGTGCTGTTAAGGTCCGTGCTTATATAAAAAAAAGAAGTAATAAATCATAAATCTCACTGCTGTACAAGCAAAAAAAAAGCTCAAAATTAGGGGAAAAATACATTACTTATACACTGGAAAGTAGGGTATTTGAACTTTACAGAATTTAGTAATCTCAAGTGCAGTTTCCAAAAAAAAAAGAAAATATTTGACATCTCTGACCACTGGCATAATACTGTTGGTGACCTCAACAAAAGTGACCTCAAGTGGTGAAGACATTAAACTGTAAATGGACAATTCACCCTATATTAGATTTGCTCTCGTTGCCCCTCATTTGTGGCATATTCATTTGTAACGAAGACACCACTTCTGCAGGTGACTGTATATCACCGTTACTTGTGCTTACCGCTGCTGGTAGCACAGGGAGAAGTGCAGAGTATGTGTAATGGTGTGCAAAGAAAGCAATTGAGAAGTACAACCTTTGACTTGAGGTTGAAGAGATGTTGGAAACTTGGAGGGGTTACCAATAAGTTTGGGGGGCATATTTTCTGACCCTCTCTGGATTGAGTGCAATACCCAAAAGTTTGTTTTGACTTAGGTGAAGCCAAGATTATATTGAGGTCAGTGAGCTCACCCTGGAAGTGCTCTAACTGAAGTGCTTTCTGCTGGTCCTGTTAGCATTAAGATTCTGTTTTCAGCTACAAGAAACTACCTTAACACAATTACTTCGAAGGAACTGCGCAATAATTTCTTAAATGGCGAGGTTCCAGGTCAGTTGACGAAGTATTGACACAGTAAAAAATAAAGTTCCAGCAAAGGAACAGTCAAGGCAACCAAGTGTCGAAACAAGTTTTTAGCACGCGTTTTTTTTATTGTTTGTTTACCTTTGTCTCTGTTCGCACAGGTGGCATTTTTACAACGTCGTATAGTAACGCATCTTTAGTGCAATAACAAATATCGTAAAATAAGCGGGGGGAGGGGGGCATCCACCCCACTTTCACTGAAAACCGGGTTATCTAGTCAAGGAAGGGCACTTGTCCGGTCAGATTGGACGCTTAGTGTATAATTTGCAGAATTCCCAAGTTTGGGAAATGCTAATAGTGGGTGCTTGAACGAAGTGGGTGCTTCTGGGGCTATATTACGGTACTTCAATAAAGGTACCGGGCAGTGGGGTGGTTGCTCGATGTTGAATTACACGTCGGCAACACAAACAACCGATCAGAGCCACTTGGCGAGTCCACACCTCAAAGTGCACTCTCGTCTCGAAACTGTTTGACATGTCACCGCGTTTCTCTCCAACGATCGCACGAGTTGCAGCAACAACGGGAACCTCCGCATGCGCTCGTTTTTTTTTTCTTTACCGCAGTCATGCTCTCTCAACTTGCAGGTCAGCTCGGGGGACCGCACCAACAAGGAGACGACAACAGAACATGTAGGCCACATCCACGGACTGCTGAAGGCCCTCCACTCCCGCCTGGGAGGCTTGCTCCCTTACCACGAGTTTGTCATCCACCCGACGTCCTTCTCTAAGACCTGCGAGAACATCTTCCACCTGTCCTTCCTAATCAACGAAGGCCACGCCCGGATAATCGAAGAGGATGGCCTCCTGCTGGTGGAGCCCGTGGACCGAACCAGCAGTTCTGCAGCGTCGCAGGCGGCAAACAGGAACGGTGTGTTCGTCAAGACGCTCACCATGACGCAGTGGAGGGAGGCTGTACGGGGGCTGGGCACCCGAGAGCCCACAATCGCCGACTGAGTCAGGGGGTGGAAACAGTCGGAAGAAAAAGAGGTTCCTCGGAGAATTGTGTGTTCTTGCTTGGCCAAAGAGTGAGGCATTAAGAACCCCCTGCAGGGACAAGGGGTGTACAAAGATGTGCTACGGGGGCATTCACTTCAACCGTTTTTTTTTCAGTCAAAAAAAAGTGTGATGAGTGAAGTTACGCTGCACAGCAAGATATTCATTCAATGGTAGTTCATTTGTCATTCATTGTTTTTACCTACTGTCCAGTTTCAGCTTGCTTTTCGATTAGTCATTTGATGGACTGCCGTGGATAGCAGTCTACAGCTCATTTCAATAAACTGGTTCAAGATTTTGTCCTTATTAATCTTTGTGGTCCAAAACTTCGAAGGAAACTGGCAATCCTTTGCATGTGCACCTTGCTTCCATAAAAAATTGTAGTTTTATGTTTTTACTATGTATTTCGGAATTCCACTTGCAATCTGTCCAACGTAAAAATGCTCAAGAGAATGTTTAATTCATATTCCCTGGCATGTGCAGAGCAAAAGGAGCCGACAAAAGAAAAGAGCTCTTTTGTACTCCTGCAAACTGTGGCTACTTATGTACCGGGTATCAGTGACCCTCAGCAACTCGGTTTTAAACTGTATTTAATGTCACAGCCTGAATACCTTGACCTTGCTGCTCTTCCATATAAAAATGTGAAAGCCGTTTACAACTCCCTGTAACGCCGAATTAGAGCACAGCTCTTGAGGAGGAGGAGGGAAGGGTACTGGGGGGGAGGCAACTGACCTTGGGGGGCACGTGACCTGGGGGTCACGTGACGATGACCATGCCGATGATGTCATCAGTGACGTCACTGATGACATCATCAGTGACGATGACGATGCAGATACCGATGACGTCATTGATGATGTCACCAGTGACGTTGACGATGCGGATGTCGGTGACGTCATCAGTGATGATGACGATGCGGATGCCGGTGACGACATCAGTGACGTCACTGATGACGATGCGGATGTCGGTGACGTCATCAGTGATGATGACGACGATGCGGATGCCGGTGACGTCATCAGTGATGATGACAATGCGGATGCTGGTGATGTCATCAGTGATGATGACGATGCGGATGCCGGTGACGTCATCAGGGACGATGACGTCATTGGGGAGTCACGTGACCTCGGGAGGGGTCACGACCTTGGGGGTCACATGACCTTCGGGTGACCCTGGTTACGCCGACGGCGACGCCGCTCAAGCTGGAAACGGGCGCCTAAGAGCTGCGCTCTAAAAAGCAGCAACCCCAGAAAAAGCCGTTTTGTTCATGCATTCTATTCAATGTTAGGATTTGCTGGCCACTGGTTTGAGCGACTTCATCATTTTTGTCCGAGCTTTATTCTTGCAGTGTGCACTGAAGCCACCATATCACTAAAGTTTCTGGACTGTGCTGTAAGGTATCGGGTTGGCCGACGAGACTCGTCGACCGTTGCCACGCACAGCCGAGCCACCGGGTTGAGGAGAAAGAAGTGGTAGCTCGGGGGCAGTTGGTTCTGGCGGTTGGAATGAGCGGCAATGATTTGCGGGTGTCTTAGAGCAAGTGTTTAAGAGACGTTGAAACCTGACAAGTGGGGGCTCGTCCGGGATAATAAGATGTCTCATCGACCGCTTTTCGTACCGCCAGACTTTCTCCGTACGATGATGCAGCAAACGGATGGTTCAGCGCTCCATCGGGAACAGATCGCCGCCCACATACGCGAGCTCTTGATTGCCGCGCCCATCGAGCTTGCAGAAGGTGAGCTCGACCCTGAGCTGCCTCAGCCCTTGCAACCTTTGTTGCCTCAGCCCTTGTCGCCTCAGCCCTTATCGCTTCAGCCCTTGCAGCCCTTGTTATCCTCTCCGTTGGTAACGCCAGCCGTCACTGCGACCAACGGAGCGCCCGATCAAGATCCCATGCATGCCCTGTGGATCTCCACCCAGCCTCCCAGGTTTTCTGGTTTTGGAGATCTACAGTCACCAGAAGGGTTCATAGAGAAGCTCGAGAGTTACTGCGTAATCCAGGGTGTCAAGCCAGAGGATCGCATCAGCCGTGTCGTACCCGCAGTTCTCGACGGAAGTGCCAAGCTGTGGTTTCGCTTCGCGGGGGAGTTTACAAGCTGGGGCAGCTTCGTCACCGCGTTCCATAGTCAGTTTGCGCCGGTGGACAAGAAGAAGCGACTGAAAGAGGAACTGCGGAAACGAACTCAACACCCCGAGGAAAACCTGAAGCAGTTCATATATGTCATCAGCAGTTACTACGACAGGATCGGCGAGCCTGTGACAGATGCGCAGAAGGTGGAGAGGGTACTCCGACAGATGCACCCGCAGTTCCGGGATCTCGTTGAAGGAAGGACCTTCGCCACGCTCAAGGAACTCGCCGACGCTGCCGATGGATTAATGGAGCGCGTGTGGCGACGTCTCCAATACGTACCCCCTCCCCAACTCTCAAACCAAGTGGCTCGGGACTTGGTGTTCCAAAGTCGAACAGCGACGCCAGTGCCTCGCCTAGTTCCGGTGACTCGAACGGCGACGCCAGTGACTCGTCCAGTTCCGGTGACGGATCAGAGTGTAGCAGCCTGGACCACGCCCACCCTCGCTGCTCCAAACGCGTACCCCTGGTGCCTGCATCCGGCGGCCCTGCAACCTTCGTACTACAGGGACCAACTCGGTGCTGTCGAGGCTCACAGCGTAGCACCGTCCCAGATGGGTTTCGGCAGTTTCGGCAGCCCAGTCCGACAGCAGGCCGTGCTCCAAGAAAACAGCTATGATCGCCAGCTACAGTGTCACCGGTGCGGGGGTGTGGGACACGTCACGCCAGTGCCCTACGAGCGCGCGCCGGGGCCGGGGCCGGCCTCGCTGTTTTCGCTGCAACGAGCCCGGGCATATGCAGGCGAGTTGTCTGGGAAACGGCAGACAGTAGACGCCGCACCGGCAGGCGTCTACATGTCAGTGCAGGTAGCTGCAGCAGCCGGTGGAAAAGAGCCGCTTCTGGAGCTTCGCATAGGGGACAGAATCTTTTGCGCACTCCTGGACACCGGGTCAAGTGTCAGTCTAGCAGGAAATGCAGCTATTGCGACAGCGATGGCTGGAGGAGCGACTGTTCGAGAAGAGCAGCACTGCCTTCGTCTTGCAGCCGGTTGGTCTCAGACAACAAGCTCCGTACGATGCCGAGTGCATTGGGCAGGGGGATCACGTAAGCAGCGATTCCTCTACATGCCAGGCCTTTGCAGGGACATAGTGCTAGGCAGAGACTTTCTTAACGCTACCGGCATCTCCATACACATTTCTTCGAGCGCTTGGACGATCGGGTCTGAACAACAGAAGCGTATTCCGTTTTCCAAGGGTGAAATCCAAAGAGAAGAGTCCGGTCAGGCCAATAACGAACAAGTCTATAGCTTAGAGCGATTGTTCGCCGAGTCAAGTGAAGGCCCTTGTGTGCAGAGAGAACAGCCTGCGGATGATCAGTCCCTACGAGAAAATGACTGGCGTCAGGCCTATCATAACAAGAAGATGCCTACAGATGATCGACATCTGCTGCACGCCGACAATCCTGACGTTGACTATGCAAAGCATCCGGATGTCTTAACCATGCTGGGAAAGTTCGGCACGCTATTTGACAAACGTCCTGGCTGCACGGGACTGATGGAGCACACCATCAACACTGGAGATTCCGCGCCGATTCGCTGCAGGCTTCGCCCCGTCAATGCTCACAAAAGGCAGATTATGGATTCCTGTATCGAAGATCTGCTGCAGCAGGACTTGATACAACCCAGCTCGAGCCAGTGGTCCTGTGCCCCAGTCCTGGTTGCGAAGAAGTCGGGAGGATACCGACTAGCTGTTGATTACCGGCCGCTCAATGCTAAAACCCAAGTTCCGGTATACCCGATGCCACGGACAGACTGGGTACTGGCAGAGTTAGGCAGAGCTCAGTGGTTCACAAGCTTCGACCTGTCCCAAGGTTTCCTCCAGATTCCTGTCCGCCACGAGGATATCCCCAAGACTGCATTCATATGCCACAAGGGTACATTTGAATTCAAAAGGATGCCCTTTGGCGTGGCTGGCGGACCAGCCACATTCCAAGCCCTCATGGACAAAGTACTTGTGGGAATCAAGCACAAATTTTGTATGGCCTTCTTGGATGATGTCTTGATATACTCCAGTTCATTTGAAGATCACTTGTGGCATATTGAAGTGCTTTTGTCTAGGATCGCCCACGCTGGGCTTACCATCAATCCGACGAAGACGCAAGCCTGTAGGCGGTCGCTGAAGTTTCTAGGGCACATAATTTCACCGGGAGAGTGCAGGCCTGACCCAGATAAAGTTGCAGCTGTACGCGACTTCCCAACCCCCCAAAGTGTCAAGGATATTCAAGCATTTCTTGGATTGGCCGGGTATTACCGGTCTTTCCTGCCAAAGTTCTCTGAAGTGGCCCGTCCTTTGACCATTCTTCTACAGAAGAATGTACCCTGGCGTTGGAGCAACCAGCAAGAAATGGCATTTCACCAGCTCAAAACCATGCTGGCAAACAAGGTGGTGGTTGCACTCCCTGATCTCAACCGACCGTTTGTGGTGGAGACCGATGCGAGCGGCACCGGCATCGCAGCAGTCCTCTTGCAGGACACGGAGGGACAACTGCGGCCAGTGTCATTTATTAGTCGATCTCTGAACGCAGCTGAAAGGAACTACACCGTGCAAGAATGGGAGTGTTTGGCCGTAGTCTGGACCATTGACAAGTTCAGGCCGTATTTGGAATATACCAAGTTTGAGGTACACACCGACCACGCTTCTCTCAAGTGGATGTTCACCACCGAACAGACCTCAAGCAGGGTACGTCGATGGGTGCTACGCTTGCAAGGTTTCGATTGCCTCATCAGACACCGTCAAGGAGCAGCAAACATCCCAGCTGATACCTTGAGCAGGTTCCCTGCTCCAGTCACGGGACCGCCGTCGGAAGCACTGGACACCGAAACCGATGAGTGGTTCCCCATAGAGACGGTGGAGCCAGAGCACCGACTTCGGTTCGAGGAAAATGCCACAGTGGAGGAGACGGACATATCACTGCTCCTCAATGCATCCCAGCTCGCTGATGAACAACAGAAAGATCCAGAAATCTCCGAGGTAATTCGCTACCTCCAAGACCGAACTCTGCCGACCGACGAAACAGAAGCACGTCGAATACAACATCTTTCTGATGATAGTGAAATCGATCATGACGGACAGCTACTAAAGGTTTCAGGGGAAAGAAAGCTCATCTGGGTTCCAAAACAAATACGCCAAACGGTACTGCAGTTGTCACACGATAACCCTTTAAGCGGACACTTGGGGTACTTCAAGACCCTGAAGCGGGTCGCGGATAGGTATTTTTGGATCGGTATGAGGTCTGACGTTTCCCGCTATGTGCGATCTTGCCCGTCCTGTCAGACTTTGAAGCCTCGTCGTCAAAAGCCGGGGGGACTAATGGACAGTACCTGGGCAGAGGAACCTATGGCACACCTGAGCGTAGATATAATTGGGCCATTACCTATATCAAAACGCCACCACAGATATCTTCTCGTGGTCATCGACAAGTTCACGAAGTTTATTGAACTATTTCCCCTTCGAGCTCCGACCAGTAAGGCCATCCTGGAAAAAATGATTGGCGTGTTTTGTCGACATGGCTTTCCAAAAAGCATATCCAGTGACAATGGAAGAGTCTTCGTTTCTCGGCTGTGGAAGAACGTCATGAAGCACCTCGGCATCAAAGACCGCCACACGGTACCGTACCGCCCTGCAGGGCAGATGGTAGATCGGCATAACGCAACAGTGAAGCAGTGCCTCGTGGCATACTGCCATGACCATTGTGACTGGGACCAACGTATCCCTGAAGTTTCATTCGCAATGAGAACTTGCGAAAGTGTGACCACAGGGTACACGCCAGCTTTTCTGTGCTATGGGCGCCAGCTCCGCAAACCATGGGAACAAAACCCCGGTCAACTTCCTACACCAGACAGCCGAGCTCCAGGCTTCGTGGCAGAGGTGACATCTAGGCTGCAAGACGCACACGAGTTTGCGCTAGAGAACCAGAGAAGAGCCCAAGAGCAGCAGCGCCGCTACTACGACAGAAATCGACGACAGTGTAACTTTAGGATCGGTGATCTAGTTCTCCGTGATCTGCACACTCTAAGCGATGCCAGCAAGGGCGTGGCGGCAAAATTGGCACCGAGACGCTCGGGGCCATTCGTGGCGGTGGGGAAAGTGGGGCTGAACGACTATCGCTTGAAGGACCGCAATACTGGACGACCAGCAGGACTGGCACATGCTGACCAGCTGCTGAAGTTTTGTGAAGACCGGCTGAACATTTAATCTAAGGGGGGAGGATTGTAAGGTATCGGGTTGGCCGACGAGACTCGTCGACCGTTGCCATGCACAGCCGAGCCACCGGGTTGAGGAGAAAGAAGTGGTAGCTCGGGGGCAGTTGGTTCTGGCGGTTGGAATGAGCGGCCATGATTTGCGGGTGTCTTAGAGCAAGTGTTTAAGAGACGTTGAAACCTGACAGTGCAAAGACATCTTGGATTCACCTTCACTGCAAAGCATGCATTCCCTATCTTTATACTTCAAAACAAAGCTTCAAATGCACAACAATTTGAGGTAGCGATTTTGAATGCAGGAGTTCACGAAACGTAGGAAACAATACTGCTTGCATGTGTGTTTTCAATTTCTAAAATGCATTGAAACTAGGGCTGGGTGGCGATTAAAATTGGTAACCCTATTAATTGCAACCCTTTAATCGGTCTCATTCTTTTTTAAACAATATTTTTAAAGAGAAATTCTTTTTGTTGTTGCTTTTGCTAAATATGTGATAAGTGGCACAATATAGAATTTTGATTATGAATAACCTCGATGCGGAGTTGAGAACATTTCAAAGACACTGGCACTTGCAGATTATTACTTCAGCTGCATGAGGCAAAGAGGTTCGCTGATATTCCCCACCAAGAGCAACCTCCTTTGATTGTTCACAAGTCTGCTACAGATGGTAGCACGGCATTAAAGTGGCCGGGACATGTGCAACCTTCTGAACTTGTCTGGAATTGCAAATTTCGCCCTACAATTGACTGGGTTAAAATTTTACCGAAAGTTCGTCCTTCATACAGGTGTACTTGTCCACATCTGCGTGCAGAAAGCGTTTATTTTTACTTTCTTGTGGTTTGTCATATTTTAATGATTAACTGGTTAAAATAATTAACTGTGATTAAATCATTAATTGGTAGGTTAATCAATCAATTGGCCAGCCCTAACTGAAACCATGCAGTGGGCACTCTGGGACATTGCATATGGTGGACAGCAGACACGGATACGCTAAGGGAGCCCAAAAGACAGCACCCTGCTCAGCAACATTCTTTCCTGCTACTATGTCGGAGACCAACATGGAAGGCTAAGCATTGAAAGTAATGGGACCTTTTCCCAACTCCCAAACATTCTTAAATACAGTCCGAGTCATTGTAACACTTTTCAGTAATATTGGGTGGACAAGCAACACGGAAAAAAAAAAGGTAAAGTGGCACTCATTGTGCTAGCACATTGGAAGACTAACAGAGGAGGTCAGAGGAAAGGGAGTACCAACTATCACAAACCTCCATGAAATAAGATGAGCTAAAAAGGTCAAGGAAAAGTCATATATTGTTTGATTATGAAAACAACTTATACCGCAGCTATAAATTGTGGCAGAGTTGTCTTACTCTTTCACTGCTAGATAATGCCACGCATAGTTCAATATTACTAGTCTTTATTTACAGTTTCATCATCCTCATCTTGCTTGTCCCAATCCTTCATGTCTGCACCGAGCATGAAGTCGTCTCGCAGAATAGTCCACGTCTCCGGTTTGTCTTGTGGCTTTTCCTGGGGGATGACATTGTGCGACAAAGCGTAATATGCAAATTTCTAACGGAATTTTTTTTATACTCGCTCTAAAGAAGCAGTTTAGTCGAGCGGTGTGCAGTCTCTACGAGGGTCAAGGGCGGGTATATGTACGAGGGCTTTTTTCAAAGAAGCTGTTTTGATGGGCACGTAAGCATTGAGCTCCTATTTTGAATCTTTCTTTTTAGTGTCCCAATGTTCGGCAATATAAGAGAGCCTGTGATAATAATTAAAAACCTGCCTCTAAAGCCACCAGTGTGCAAACTTTCACTATGTATGCCAGTGCCAAGCTCATTGATGCAGTAAAGATGTGCTCCATCCTGTTATAGCAACCACAGATTTCAATGGATACTTCACTGGACGAGCCATCAAACAGCATGTACTTGTATCCATTGAGACTTCGCTGTCAGAGAGCAATTCTACTTCCTCACTGCTCTGGGTTAATAGTGGTTCTGAAAATGCCGGCCTTACTGATATACAAGACGGTTGCATTTTTCGAAAGCTAGGCATATGAGTCGGATTAACATTTGTTATTCTTTAAGCTTTCAAGTTAAAGACAGTTTAAAAGGAAGAGTTATGACTTCGTTAAGATGTCCAGTTTTCAGGCTTTGTTAGATATGATGCCTCCCATTATGCTAACTACAAGCAAGACAAAGCTCAAATATTTTTCATAAATTGTAACTATCGATACACAGCTTTGTTAAACTCTATGAACTCTATACATGTCGCATGTAAAAATGCACTCAACTTGGCAACATCTTCCTAATCTTTACCTAACGTTTCGAGCCTGTAGGTTGTGCAGGAAAACCTAAAAAGTTAACAAAATCCCCCCCCCCCCCCCCCCCAAAAAAAAACACACAGACAAAAAAACAAATAATGTTTGAACACAGCATACATTTTTTTTTTTTTTTTCGCAAACAATTTTGTTGAAATTTTCTTTATACATTGGGGAGACATAGAAAGAAAAAAGTCTATCAGAATATGAGATTTTCAGTAAACACATGCACAATCTTTTTTTTTTCCTAGAAAAGTGAAGTGCTTTGCAAGAGCCTCAAACTTTCAAATAATGCAGACACTTCTTTGGTCTTGTTGAAGCCCTTCAGAAAAGCACAGGATGCAAATGTTTCAATGATTCCAGGTGGTCACTGAACAAATGGAGCACAATTATTAAGAGTGCTGCCTATGTTCAACCAACTTCTGATATCTTGCCCCTTTGTGGGACCTGTAACAAGTTTTAGCTCCATTGAAGGGTGCTAATAAATATGCTGTTTTTGCTCGAGCACTACCTACACACAGAGGTCGGCATTTTAGGTCGCCCTCACTTACCCTCACCCTCACAGCCACACTCACCTAGGCCCCTCACTCACCCTCACCCTCACAGCTACACTCACCCTCGGCCCCTCACTCATCCTCACCCTCACAGTCACACTCACCTTCGGCCCTTCACTCACCCTCACTGAACTCACGGCCTTCACGCACTCACCGCCCTCACGGCCCTCACGGCCCTCACGCCCCTCACTCACTCATGGCCCTCACGCCACTCACCGCCCTCACGCCACTCACCGCCCTCACGGCCCTCGCCGCCCTCGCCGCCCTCACGGCCCTCACGCACTCATAGCCCTCACGCCACTCACCGCCCTCACGGCCCCCACGCACTCATAGCCCTCACGCCACTCACCGCCCTCACGGCCCTCACGCCACTCACCGCCCTCACGCCACTCACCGCCCTCATGCCACTCACCGCCCTCACGCTACTCACCGCCCTCATGCCACTCACCGCCCTCACGCCCCTCACCGCCCTTGCGGCCCTCACACCCCTCACGGCCCTCACGCCACTCAGGCCAGCTTCAGATGGGGCAATTTCGCCCAAAAACTTTACGTCGCAACACCAGCAACACGGGCCGCCCGCGATCACACGCAGCAACCAATTGCTGCAATTTGCCATCGTCATCATAACATTTTATTTTTCTTGCACTATTTAGACACAATTATGCGTTATAAACGTGTTTTTATGCATTTAAATCTCGTTAAGAATACTAATGCACCTTTCTGAAACAGTTTATTTCCAAAAAAACGATCGATTTCAAACCAGAACCAAGTCTTTGGGTGTCATCATCACCGTCACCAGGTATCACGTGAAAATTTTGCGTCCCTGATTGGATGCAGCCGCTTCAAACGTATTCGAATTGCTCTGAGTTGCTTCCTTATTTCGAGCCGGACCCGATCTCAGCAATTCGTGTCGATCTAGGGAAAGCTAGAGAACAACCCGCCATTAACACCAAAATTGCTGAGAAAGATGCTCGATCTGAAGGGCGCCTCACGCACTCACCGCCCTCACGCACTCATGGCCCTCACGGCCCTCACCGCCCTCACGGCCCTCACCACCCTCACGGCCCTCACCGCATTCACGGCCCTCACCGCCCTCACGGCCCTCACGGCCCTCACGGCCCTCACGGCCCTCACGGCCCTCACAGCCCTCACGGCCCTCACGGCCCTCACCGCCCTCACGGCCCTCACCGCCATCACAGCCCTCACGGCCCTCACCGCCCTCACCGCCCTCACAGCCCTCACGGCCCTCACTCACCTTCACTCACACTCACTCACCCTCACGCTCATGAACTTTCCTGGTTCAGAAACTCACTCACCCTCACCTCACCTGTGAAGATGAGGGTGAGTGAGGGCCCTCATGAGTGAGGTTTGCCGAGGTATGCCTACACAGCCTATAAGGAGAGGCTGCTTTCCCACAAAGTACTAAGCAAGCTAATCACTGCAGTCTCTGGAAAATTTATGAATTTTTAAGTTAATTTTCTGGCTAAAATAGTTACTTTTCAATGTATCAGGTTAATGCAAACAGCATCGCGGACAGCAGTGCTGTTGATTCTCTATTCATGCCATATATTATGGTCAAATCAATAGGCGAATGCTCCTGAACTGCATCCATCAGTAGATAACCCTCACCTTTTTAGACACATTGTCTGGAACACTTACGAGGATCAGGTGGAACGTAACAGAGCGACGGGTGGCTAACCAACAATGTGAGAAGACTGGGCAAGCAAGAAATTAAAGGCAAGAGGGTCGGAAGGTTTTACGCTTTCACACATGTCGACATGCGCACTAGCCATTCGGAGCCACATATGCCAGCTCTCCTCCTTTTGTCTCAACAGCATCCAGGAACAGCACAGGCACTGAATTGTACTAAACCCTGACCATGTTCCCTCCTTCCACCGCTCATAAAGCCTTCAATTTACCTGCTGATGGTGATCGAACAAACTATGCCATAAAATCTATAGTATAGTTTGTCAGATCAATACCAGCAGGTTACTCGCTGGCACAGATGAACCTCAGTCTCTGGGAAAAAAAGATGTTCAATGCCCACCTGCTTGTCCTTGAGCATGTCCAGGAAGGCACCTTTACTCAACGTTTTCATGACTTTGTCTCGCCGAGTCTCAGACTCCCCGGCAGCACGGAGTTTTTCCTCCACTTCCTTCTGGTGTTTCTTGACAGCATTAAAGAGCTGCACAACACCCCTGAAAAAGCCAGTCAATTTATTGCAGAGAGACACATCTAAATGAATAGGATATCAGGACACATGAAGATTTGAACATGAGCTCCTACACAATTCACGTTGCGAGGGCCAAAACTCACATAGACTTGTTTCTTAAATTCCAACATACTAGTATATATGATTGCGGGGGCAGCTTCTAGGCACAGCTATTTACTGCTGGTGCTGGTGTATTGCTTGTAGCTGGAAGCTGTTTCAAATATGTGGTATGGATCCTTAGTAAAAAAAGGAGGGCTTGCATGCAGGTGTGATTCCCTGATCATGATGTCACAAGACATTGATTACAATGAAGCACATATCCAGCAAACATTAGCAGTGAGATGAAAAAACAAACTGGACAGAAAGATCTCATATCGATAACCTTTTTCTGTCTTCCTTGTTTCTACCTCTTTCTCCCCCATCGTCTAAGGGTATATATCATTAATGGGAAGCAGGGCTTCGGATCTTACTATCAGCACAGAAATCTCAGCGGTTACTTACTTGGTTGCGAGGCGTGCAAGGTGCCTCTCCTTCTCGCCAGATTCTGGCTTGCTCCGAGACATCTCCTCCCATTTTCGCTTCTGAAATATGACTGGGTATGAGCCTTTCGTGGTTACACCAGTAGCACCAAAACAGACACTCGATTTCTGTGCATAAAATTACTAGTATCACTTCTACTGAGGTAATTGCAGAAGCATTCTCTTCTACTGTGGCAGAGTCCTCCGAGGTTCTACCACAGCCTGTTTAACTTTTTCTAATCTTCCCTCATTTTTGTATTGGTTCCCAAACTTTAAAATGCACCCCCCCCCCCCCCCCCCCCCGCTTCCCCTTTTCTGTGGCCATTAATTAATCTTTCTGCGGCGCCGTGGCTCTGCCCAGTCCGACTAAACATGGCTATAACTAATCCGAAGATACACAAATTTAACTTGATTTGAAATCGTTCGCCATCCATAGTCCTCACATAACTACGAATTCTAACATCTGTTACCGAAAGGTAGGGAACAGCATTGTGGAGTTTCAGTTGTCCCGCCTCCAGCGCGAGCTTCTAACACCTGACGTTCTTATCCTGTCATGGACTGCAGAAATGACAGACCTCTGTTTATCGAGCACGACAAAAACCGATGTCACGTGCCTTTTCGTTTCTCTCTCGAAGCGCTCTTTTGGAGATGTACAGCGCTTCTTCCGGCCGTTTCTCCTTTTGCGTTTCCAGGGGCTTTACTTCACCTTCGTCGTCGACAACCTCGACAGGTGTCGGTGCCTCCTTGACACGTATCTGCGCATCCTTCTTAGCCTTGAATAAGATCGGCGTCTTTGTCCGGGGCGGCTTCGAGCGAAGCAGCTTGCCAAGCACGTCGGCCCATGCCTCGTTGCCCGTCGCATCGTCATCAGCGTCCGAGTTGTTTTCGGGCTCCGCCGAGACGCTGTTTTCTGCGTCGTCATCTGAAAAGTGTCGAGGCGTGCATCGAAAGGTAGCCAGTGATCGCGATCGTCAGATGCGACTGCTGCAACTATCAAAAGGCTGGATAGCAGTGTAGATGCAACTGCTTTCCAACCGTCGGAGTTCTGAAAAATTTTGTTTTCGATTAAAAGTTTCTTCTACAGTAAACCAGATATAAAAGTGACAATTAGAACAGGAATAGGGGCATTTTGGTCGAGAAACAGGAGGGATTTGACACGAACCACGCTCGATAACATACCTGCTATGTGCGCAGCCATGGTTTACACCTCGTCGTTGCCAGATTGTCTTCTAGTACTTGTCTAAATTTGGTGTTTGTGGAATCTTTGATTTGTCATAATAGGTGTTTCGCAATCTTTTCAAGATTAATGCATTATATCAATACACATGTAACAACTATATACGTTTTTTTAACGTAAACAAAATAAAGCAAAATTTACAGGAAACACAATCTAGAGTAACCCAAAAACGAAACTGGACCTACGATAGTTTTCTTTTCCGTCTTGAGCTTTTTTAGTTACTGGGCTGTGGACGGCAAGCGCGGCGACTGATATTCTGCCAAAGAAAGCGAGTGTGCACGCTCTGAACGTGTTCCACGGCTCGGTAGTCAAAGGTGGCAGCACGCAGAGGGTGAAGGATGAAAACGGCAGGGAGGTATTACAACTGTCCCGTATCCAGCGCGAACTTCCTTCCTGCGTAGTATCGTACTTGGGAGACAACTACTGCTTGGGAGGCCCGTTGGGCACGTTGCAATAGGTGTGAAGCCTAGTCATAAAAAGTTTAAACCATATTGTGCCCAACGTGACCCCAGATCGTGACATGTCACGTTCGAAATGGATGGTTGAATGGGGGCCCCTGCAAGAAGGGGGGGGGGGGGGGGGGGGGGGGGAGGTTTGACGAGATGTATTAGATGCACATAAAACAAACCCCATTGCTGGCTCTGCCCACGCTGTACCTGCAACCCTCAAATTGCTAATCCCTAAATGTCACATCCCTGAGAACAAGCTAGTTTATCGCAAGATATGATTTTGATTTCAGTAATGCTGGGGCTGTGGATATGATTTTGATTTCAGTAATGCTGGGGCTGTGGAGGGGGGTCTCAGACCATCCGTTAAAATCAGTAGGGGGTCCAAGACCCCCTGAGACTCCCCGACGCCACGAGCCATCCCAGCCGATCCAGCGCCGGGAGAAAGTCGCGTGACCTGCCGGTGGGGCGGGGCGACACAGGGAGCTCAAGGTCGCATGACACTCCCTCAACGCCGCATTGGCTGGGATGGCTCCTAGCGTCCGCTGTGCTCGGACGGAAGGTGAAACGGAGTAGACGTGAAGCAAACAGCTCCGTCCGGTAGGTCACGTGCTGGGCCGATAAGTGAGGAGGAGACGAGGGCGAGGCGTCTCCTAATCTCCTTGGACTACAACGACTATGCCAACGTTGCTAAATAAGCCTGTTGCAAAACGTGCAGCGCTACGACGGCAGGGAATTTTAGGAACCCTCGGTACAGATCACGCGCTTTCTCGCAGTGCCTCCGCGACTGCGCGCGCGTCCTCGCAGCTACTACCGCCAGTAGCCGTTGCACCTAGAGTGCCTTCATGTGCGCTTCGCATAGAGTGATGTCAAATGCCTGTTTCCCTTTCCCACACCCTCTTCCACCGCCATTTTGTTTCTCTCATTGTTTCCCCGTGCGCCGGAAAGGGGCCTTTGTGTCCATCGGTAATCCCATCCGAGGGGGAAAATGCTAATCCTCCCTCCGTGGGTTCCACAACGCTGCTCCGAACTTCTGAGATAAGGTGCTTTTCCGTGAGGGTTATAAGCCCCACGGATTATCGCCGAGGAACAAAATGGCTGCTGGTTTGTCGGCGAGTGGTATTGCAAAGGGTGGCATCACCCTAGCAAAGCGCAAATGAAGGCTCCCTAGGCTGCTCAAGAGTTGTTACCGTAGTAACCTGCGCCTGCTCGCGTATGCCACATGGCTATGCGGTAGCGGGAGGAGGGGCGTACCGGGGATTGCACGGGCTCGGGCCGGGTAGCAGGCATTTTCTCGGGCCCGGACCGGGCTCAGGCTTGAACAAAATATTTTTCGGGCCGTGGCTGGGCAGTCGTGTGCCGCAAATTCTAAATTGTTGATAACAAAAAGTGTGCTCATTAATCTTTTAGGTTCAACGAAAAAAAAAAAGCGAGACGCAAAATCACTACCCCCCAACGCCATAAAAAAAAAAAAAAAAAAAAAAAAAAAAAAAAACGACGCTTTGTTTTTGGAAAGTTTTCACGTGGGTAAAAGGAAACGTATGGGTTCCACCAGCATGGTGGCAAAGTGCGGTCAAGAAAACGAGGGAACTCCAGTCGCAGGGTACAACATGAGTGTCTTTTTACAGCGGAGCTGTAGTTTCCCCAGGATCGTGTCCCCCGCAAAGAAATGAAGACATCAAACTCTGGGCACCTACCGCCATCTATGAGCGACGGCAGCAAGCCACATATTTGGTTGCCGCCGTCGCTCATAGATGGCGGCAGCCTTTCCAATCTGGCTTGCCGACCTGCGGCCGGCCATTACTTTCCATTGTACAGCTCCGCTGGTCTTCCTTCTTCATTAAAGTAAAAAAGCTGAAAGTTTTTTTTTTTTTTTTTTTTTTTGCAAGATTGTTTAGCGGTTACGGTCCGAGCGACCTACAGATTTCGTGCTTCCAAACTAAAAAAAAAAAATAAATAAAAGAAAGAAAAAACGTGAGCTCGATTTTGCACTTTGTGCAGGGGGCCTGACTATGCCATCAAAGATAACCTAACTACCATAGATAATTTTATGCTTATACAGCCTTTTAAATATGTACTAGCGTAATTCTGATTGTTTCTTCACAAAGACATGTAGAGAGGAAAGTTCTCTGTGAAACGAGTTGAACAACAAAAAGTCTAACATCTCTTCAAGAAACGCATAAATAAAATATTGCCCAGCTTTTTTTGTTTTTTTTTCTCCTCAAAACCACTTATGAATTGCATATTTCGCCCCGATTTTCGAAAATACATCATCTAAGTCAGGATATTTATCGTGTCAAAAGAACTCGGTCCAAGTTTAAAAGAAATTTAAATCAAATATGCTCAATTTATGCTTAGACTGTTGTTAGGTTAAAGTCTGTAAATCTTTTCGGGCTCATGTATATAATCTGTCGGACTCAAGCAGAACTCAAACTCACATAGAAAAAAAAAAAATCGTCGGGCTCGGGCCGGGTTTAAGCTTCTGTCTAAAAATTCTGCCGGGCCCGGGCCGGGTCGGGCCGGGCCTAGAAATTAAAAATTCTATCGGGCTCGGACCGGGCCCGGGTCGCGCCTCTACCGGGCCGGGCCTAGAAATTCCGGCCCGTGCAGTGCTCTAATACCCCCCTAAAGTTATTATAATGTACGCGAGAGGTTTAACTGGCGCTAGTGTCTATGCGACTTCCAGGAGACAAATTGAAGCAGACAGCGACCAGTCTACTTTTGCGGTGCTCTTGTGCATTCCCAAGGGAAAACGCGCTTGCATTTTGTCTCTTCGCCGGAAAATAACATGGAACACTTGTTATTTTGGTCGTACCGAATAGTATGTACGTTTATTACCATTGTAAAAGTGTATACTTGCTTAGCGCAGTTTTCTTCATCAATGAACGATGTTGAACTTCGCTATATTTCACGCCCAAACCTCTTTTCCACAACAGGTGTGTAAATAAAAACAAGCAACGATTCTAAGCAAAATAACTGTAGTGGGCGGGTTCGAGCCGAGGCGGCCGAGGTGACGGCCAGAGCCGAGGGCCGCGGAGGAAAGAGTGACACAGCTGACGCTCCGAGAGCTCGGACGGAAAAAGCCCCCTGTTTATTCATGCCCACCCTTTTTACGTACACCCTAGAGGGCGCCCCAAAGGTTCAAAGGTTCAAAGGTGTTTATTGGCTAAAACAACCATACGACCGAGAGCCTGAGGCAATCAAAAGGCAGAAGCCCGTGCATACATATGCTGATTTCCTCCTCGGCCATACGTTAACAGATGAAATGGAGATGTTGGAATGTAATTTACAAAAGGGTGAGAATACTTAGTCTAATGAAGAGAGTAGGTGTCATGGTGATTCCGCACCAGATCTTTAAATTCGTCTACGCTTGGGGCCTGGCGAGCAGCATCTGGTAAGTGATTCCACAGGGTAGGCGCTTGGACAAAGAGGGAGGTAGAGGCACTAATGGTGCGGGCAAAGCGCTGTTCAAGTTTCGAGGGGTCTCGCCTAGACCTCCTCAAGTAACCATCGGGGATGGGACAGACACCATGTAGGTACCTGTAGAGGAGGACCCGTCTGAAGAACAGTCGACGTTTATCAAGTCTGGACCACCGGAGGGATTGCAGCCGCCTTTCATAGGGTAGCTTGCTTGCCCTCTTGTCCTGCAAGTAGAGTGCTGTCTTTGTGGCCTTTCTTTGCGTCGACTCTAGTCTCCTCTGTAGGTCAACCTGGCGGGGGCTCCAGACAGAGGAGCAATACTCCAAAACCGGCAGTACAAGAGCCGTGTACAGTGTACAAAAGGCATGGCTTGGCATCTCTCTTGTCGTCCTGGTTATGAAGCCTCTCAGTTTGCTCGCCCTTTTACAGACGTAGTCAACGTGCCTTCTAAAGGACAGGGTCTTGTCAAACCAAACACCAAGAATCTTAGTGTCTGTGACCTCTTGTATGCGCTTCCCTTGTGCATTGTAGACGACGTCGACGGGTTTCTTTTTTCTTGATATTTTAAGGTACACAGTTTTGTCTGGGTTGAGGAGCAGTCCGTTGACTTCTGACCACCTGCAGATCTTGTGCAGATCGGACTGCAGGATTTGGCGGTCGTGAGAGGAGTGGATTATGCGGTACAGTATGTGATCATCTGCATACCGAAGAATGTTAGATTGTATGTCGACCGCAAGGTCGTTGATGTAGAGGGTGAAGAGGAGTGGCCCTATAACAGAGCCCTGAGGTACACCCACTCTGACATTGTGCCATTGGCTAAAGGCACCGTGGAAGTTAACTCGCTGACGGCGATTACCCAGGAAGTTCGATACCCATTTAAGGGTTGCTCCGGATATCCCAAAGCCTGGGAGCTTGGTAAGGATGTGGTCATGGTTCACACTGTCGAAGGCCTTCGAGAAGTCTATGGACAGAAACATCTGCTTCCTTCGAGCTGTCCAGGGCACTGCTCAGGTCGTGGTGCAGGAGAGAGAGCAGAGTTTCGCAACTCCGCCCCTTCCTAAAGCCATGTTGAGAGCTGCATAAAAGGTTGTTGAC